CCAAGGACCAATCGTACCCATCTTTGGAGATAATCTTCTTACCGTGTTCCGAAAGGAATCCTTCTTCGATATGTTTGTTAGGCTTTACCTGAGATTTCCTAATGAAAGGTAGTGACGTGGGTAAATAACTTTCATCGCTTATTTTTAGAACTTTGCAGATATACCGGGTTCTATCAGATGAATAATCCGATGTTATTAATCCGCGATCCTGAATTGATGAAGACATTAACAGTCAAGGACTTCGACCATTTTACAGATCGTAGACCTTTCATACCCGAAGACTGCGACCCTTTGTGGAATAAAAATTTGTTTGCGTTAAAAGGTATTTTAATTGATTGCAGTAATTTGAATTTTTAAAACAAATTCATAATATTGTGAATTTAAGGAGATAAATGGAGAGAAATGAGAGCTACTTTGAGTCCAGCATTTACCAGCAGCAAAATGCGAGCGATGTTTTGCTTAATGAATGAATGCGCTGAGCAGCTGGAATATTTCTTTCAGGAGGAAAGTAAAAAGGGCCAAATAGTGCGTGACATGAAGGATGTCTTCACACGTTATGCAAATGATGTAATAGCGACCTGTGCATTCGGTATAAAGTGTAATTCTCTGAAAGAACCAGAGAACGAATTCTACGTAATGGGTAGAAAAGTCGTGAATTTTGGTAATCTATGGAAAAATTTGAAGTTTTTCGCTCTCCTTTTTATGCCTAAAATCTCAAAAGTATGTAATGTAAAAATTCTTCTTCAGACAAATATTAATTATAAGATTTTAGTTTGTGAAAATAACGATGTTCAGCAAGGAGTCGAGCGAGTTTTTCAAGTCGGTTGTAAGTGATAACTTGAGAATCCGCAAAGAACAGAATATTGTGAGACCGGATATGATCAATTTGCTGATGGAGGCGCGTAAAGGGAAGCTGAAGCACGATGGTGAAAGTCAAGAGCAGGACGCAGGATTCGCAACTGTCCAAGAATCAGATATTGGTATGAAGGACATAAAAATGAATATGGAAATCACTGATACCGATATTACCGCTCAGGCTTTAATTTTCTTCAGCGCTGGCTTCGAAACTGTTTCTACGTTGATGACATTCATGAGCTATGAATTGGCCGTGAATCCGGATATTCAAAAGAGACTGCAAGAGGAGATCGATGAAACACGCAAGAGGTGCAATGGTAAATTGACCTATGAAACATTGGCTACGATGAAATATATGGATATGGTTATTTCGGAGACTCTGAGAAAGTGGCCATCAGCAGTTGCCATGGATCGATATTGCGTAAAACCATATACTATTCCTGCTGTTAAACCCAACGAATCTCCCGTCCATTTGAAGATTGGTGACATCATTTCCATTTGCTGATGGAAGCCGTAAAGGGAAGCTGAAGCACGGGGTGAAAGTCAAGACAGGACGCAGGATTTGCAACTGTCCAAGATCAGAAATTGGATGAAGGAATAAAAATGAAATGGAATCACCGATACGATATACCGCTCAGGCTTTAATTTCTTTACGCTGGCTTCGAAACGTCTACTTGATGACATTCATGAGCTATGAATTGGCGTGAATCCGGATATCACAAAGAGAGCTGCAAGAAGAGATCGATGAAACCGCAAGAATGCAATGGTAAATTACCTATGAAACATTGGCCACGATGAAATAATGGATATGGTTATTTCGGAGACTCTGAGAAAGTGGCCACCGCGTTGCCATGGATCGATTTGCGTAAAACCATATACTATTCCTGCTGTAGACCCAACGAATCTCCGTCCATTTGAAGATTGGTGAATCATTTGGTTACCGATATCGGTCATCACAGGGATCCGAATACTATCCTGAACCAGAAAAATTTGACCGAGCGTTTCAACGAGAGAACAACACCAAATAAGCCTTTCACTACAACCATTCGGTTATGGACCAAGAAACTGTATTGGATCCCGTTTCGCACTCATGGAAACTAAAACAGTTTTCTTCCATCTTCTATCCAATGCGAGCTCGAAGTATACAACAAACAGAGTCCGTTAAAGGTAGATAAGAAAAGTTTAGTTTAGATGCAGAAGGCGGCGTTATTTAGGTTTCAAAAAAGAAACAAAAGCAAATAAAATAAACTTAATATTTACTACTATCTAAATCATTATTCATTATTTACTTCACATTATAAAAAAATATAAACCTTACAAATAAATAATTAAACTTTATGCAAAAAGACCTTGTTTTATTATTTTATTATTTTTGTTATTCATTGGATATGTGTATTTTATGTACGTGACTGATGAAGGAAAAACGTTTTTAACTATTTAATGCTTTTATTCCCATTTTTTCAATTAATTTATTTTTTTCTACAATAATATGAGTATCTTACAAATTGTTTATTATATCTAACATATAAAAATCTTATCGAAATTACGATAAATTCCGTAATTCGGTAGTAACAATAAAAATAAAATAAATGATATTTCGCAATATTTGGAAATCGCAGGTTCTTGAACTTTTTTATTATCCTTTATCTACGCTATGGAATCGAATTGCATCACATTTTTCCAAAATACAATTCAATTAATGCGAAAACATGGAATGATTTTATTCCAATCAATCTATAGTATAAAATTAAAAGATAATAACTGTTATCCAAGTTATCACAACCTGAGATATATATTATTTACTTTATTATTTAATACGCAGACGCTTCTGTAACAACGTATAGTGAAGTAGAAATTGTGAATCAGCTGATTTTAACACCAGTATCATATTATTGAGCGAAGTAAGTCTACCTTTATTACACAAACATAAAGCAATTATTATCTAATTACTTTTCAGATGTGGTTATACCTGTTACTATTAGTTTGCGCTATTCTAACATATTACGTGATTAGAGCACTATTCCTACTGGAAAAATCGTAATGTCACTCAAGGACCGATCGTTCCCATCTTCGGGGACAATCTTCTCACCGTGTTCCGAAAAGAATCCTTCCTCGATATGATCAATAGGATTTACAAAAGATTTCCTAATGAAAGGTAGTAACGTGGATAAATAAGTTTCATCGCTTATTTTAATTACTTTGCAGATATACCGGTTTCTACATTTCATTTTTTTTCAATGTCATAATTTATGTTCAATAAACTAAAATTAAAAAAAATACCATTAATTGATTTATTCGAGAAAAATTAATAATTTATATTTTTTTTCTTTTATAGATTATTGTTCATATTTTGATTAATATTTTCTTAATTATGAGAGTAATATATAATAATAATTTTTCAAGATTATCAACTACAAAATGTTAGGTATCCTGGATGATCCCAGCTGCAGACAGTGAAACAATGGTCAAAGGTATGGGGATCATTATTATTGAAACGTTTAGGAAAGATGCTATTAGTTGCTAATCACAACTAGGTTACGATGCAAGATACGATCAAAATTGAGAAGTTTTTCCAAACGGAGGTCGTGAATAGTCACAACTAGGATTATACACATCGCATCTCTATGTTGTTGATGAAATTATGTTCAGATCTTGTTGATGATGTTGATCAAAAGATGTGCAGAGAATTTGTAGAAGGTACGTATCAAGAGTGTCAAAAATGTAGTGACAGAAATTGGGAATGGTACATAGAGATGATAGGAATGGTATAGAAAGGAAGAGGTAAGTAAAAATAGTGGTATTTTCTATATGGCTGTTTATCACCGATGGGTAGATAATTCTATTAAAATTAGTGGACACAGCATATGCATTTTTTCCAATCAATTGAGAATATAGATTCAAAAGATTACAATTATTATCTTATATATTGTCACTTTAGATATAAATAGATATTACATAACATTATTTCAATGCGCAGTTTCGGTAACACATTCAATTGAGTGGGGTCTGGTAAATCAGCCGGCAATAATTTCAGACTAAACAAATCAGTCTTATTGAGCGAAGCAAAATATAAATGTAAGTATACCTCAAATCACAAAGTCTACCTCCACTACGCAAACAAAAACTAATTATTATCTAATTAGATTCCAGATGTGGTTATACCTATTATTATTTTTTGGCGCTATTCTAACGTACTATCTAGTAAAACAACACACCTATTGGAGGAATAAAAATGTTACACAAGGACCAATCGTGCCCATCTTTGGCGACAATCTCCACACCGTGTTCCGAAATGAATCCTTTTTTCATATGATTATAAGAATTTACCAGAGGTTTTCTAATGAAAGGTAGTATCATGGTTAAATAACTTCCATCTCTTATTTTTATTACTTTACAGATACACGGGTTTCTATCAGATGAATAATCCTATGTTATTAATCCGTGATCCAGAATTGCTGAAGATGATAACAGTCAAGGACTTCGAGTACTTTACTGATCATATGTCCTTTCTTCCCGTCCACTCGGATCCTTTATGGAACAAGAATTTGCTTGCGTTAAAAGGTATTTTAAATTAATGTAATAATTTAAATCAGTGAAAGCGTTGCTCTTTATTTATCCCAAATTGGCATTTCTTAGTTAGTATCTAGCTAAACACATACATTATTTACATAATAAAAACATTGTAAAATAAATATTGAAAATGACGAATATTTGTAAAAAGTGTACCGAACTTTTGTTCCAAAAAAAAAAATCACATCCTAAATTTGTTTATAATACGCACACAGTACACACATTGCTCCACACATCACATCAAACGATCAAGAAATTCACCCCATGGATGAATCATATTATCATAGCGGTAAAATTCTTACTATATCAATTTAAAAATCAATATATTAAAAACATTCTAATAGAAATATCCACACAGATTGACGCACTTCCAACCGCTCGGTTTATTCAAAGAAAAAATAAGAAAAAGTTGAATTAAATTATTAGATTAAGGTGCAACGTATTAAATAATTACGTCTGCAATTTGAATTTAACAAATGGCTTATCACTGTGAACTAAATTAATTAACTATAATGTAAACGAAGACACATGTACAATGTTAACTTTTCTACAAGACAAGACAACAAATGTTCTTTATATTATATTGTATGCAAATAAGTTTATTATTATAAATAATTTTAATCATTAATAAAACCTTTATATTATCGATTTTAGGTGATAAATGGAAAGAAATGAGAGCTACCATAAGTCCAGTATTTACAAGCAGTAAAATGCGGGCGATGTTTTACCTTATAAACGAGTGCGCTGAGGGACTTGCAGATTATTTTGAAGAAGAGAGCCAAAAGACTCAAGTTGTACGCGATATGAAAGATGTTTTCACCCGTTACGCCAATGATGTAATAGCAACTTGTGCTTTTGGTATCAAGTGTGATTCGATGAAGGAACCCGAAAACGAATTCTATGTAATGGGTAGAAATGTTTTGAATTTTGATAGTCTATGGAAAAATTTTAAGATGTTTACTGTCATTTTGATCCCGAAAATCGCTAGAGTAAGTAAAATAGTATTTGTTCTTTGAACAAAAGTCAATAATTAGATTTCAGTTCCTGGATGTAACAATATTCAGCAGAAAATCGAGCGAGTTTTTCAAGTCAGTTATAAGTAATAACTTAAGAATGCGCGAAAAACAGAAGATCGTGCGACCGGATCTAATCCATTTGCTGATGGAAGCACGTAAAGGGAAGCTGACACACGGGGGTGAAACGCAAGATCAGGACGCAGGATTTGCAACTGTCCAAGAGTCAGAAATTGGCATGAAGGAGATGAAAACAAAGATGGATATCACCGATACTGATATCACCGCTCAGGCATTAATATTCTTTACTGCTGGCTTCGAAACAGTCTCCACTTTGATGACATTCATGAGCTACGAATTGGCTGTGAATCCGGATATCCAGAAGAAGCTGCAAGAAGAGATCGATGAAACGCGCAAGAAATGCAATGGTAAATTAACCTATGACACATTGGCCACAATGAAATACATGGATATGGTTATTTCGGAGACTCTGAGAAAGTGGCCACCCGCTGTTGCCATGGATCGTTGTTGCGTAAAACCATATACTATTCCTGCTGCTAGTCCCAACGAATCTCCAGTTCATTTGAAGTTGGGTGATATCATTTGGTTACCGATTATCGGCATCCACAGGGATCCAGAATACTATCCTGAACCCGAAAAATTTGATCCAGAGCGTTTCAACGATGAGAATAAGCATAAAATAAAGTCTTTTACTTACAATCCATTCGGTTATGGACCAAGAAACTGTATTGGATCCCGTTTCGCACTCATGGAAACTAAAACAATCTTCTTCCATCTTTTATCCAAGTGCGAGCTCGAAGTAGTACAACAAACAAGAATACCGTTAAAGATAATTAAGAAAGCCTTTACTTTAGATGTAGAAGGCGGCGTTAGTTTGGGATTTAAAACAAGAAAACAAAACAAATAAAATAAACTTAATATTTACTACTATCTAAATCATTATTCATTATTTACTTCACATTATAAAAAAATATAAACCTTACAAATAAATAATTAAACTTTATGCAAAAAGACCTTGTTTTATTATTTTATTATTTTTGTTATTCATTGGATATGTGTATTTTATGTACGTGACTGATGAAGGAAAAACGTTTTTAACTATTTAATGCTTTTATTCCCATTTTTTCAATTAATTTATTTTTTTCTACAATAATATGAGTATCTTACAAATTGTTTATTATATCTAACATATAAAAATCTTATCGAAATTACGATAAATTCCGTAATTCGGTAGTAACAATAAAAATAAAATAAATGATATTTCGCAATATTTGGAAATCGCAGGTTCTTGAACTTTTTTATTATCCTTTATCTACGCTATGGAATCGAATTGCATCACATTTTTCCAAAATACAATTCAATTAATGCGAAAACATGGAATGATTTTATTCCAATCAATCTATAGTATAAAATTAAAAGATAATAACTGTTATCCAAGTTATCACAACCTGAGATATATATTATTTACTTTATTATTTAATACGCAGACGCTTCTGTAACAACGTATAGTGAAGTAGAAATTGTGAATCAGCTGATTTTAACACCAGTATCATATTATTGAGCGAAGTAAGTCTACCTTTATTACACAAACATAAAGCAATTATTATCTAATTACTTTTCAGATGTGGTTATACCTGTTACTATTAGTTTGCGCTATTCTAACATATTACGTGATTAAACACTATTCCTACTGGAAATATCGTAATGTCACTCAAGGACCGATCGTTCCCATCTTCGGGGACAATCTTCTCACCGTGTTCCGAAAAGAATCCTTCCTCGATATGATCAATAGGATTTACAAAAGATTTCCTAATGAAAGGTAGTAACGTGGATAAATAAGTTTCATCGCTTATTTTAATTACTTTACTAGATATACCGGTTTCTATCAGATGAATAATCCTATGTTATTAATCCGCGATCCTGAATTGTTGAAGATGGTAACAGTCAAGGACTTTGACCATTTTACAGATCATAGGCAGTTCTTACCTGACAACTGCGATATTTTGTGGAGCAAGAATTTGATTGCATTAAAAGGTATTTTAATGAATTCTAGTAATTTAATTCAAGTACTTAATATTATAGATTTTAGGAGATAAATGGAGAGAGATGAGAGCTACCATGAGTCCCGCATTTACCAGCAGCAAAATGCGCGCAATGTTCTGTCTAATGAATGAGTGCGCTGAGCAACTTGAAAATTACTTTCAGGAGGAGAGTAAAAAGGGAAAAATAGTACGTAATATGAAGGATGTTTTCACGCGTTATGCCAGTGATGTAATAGCAACCTGTGCATTCGGTATAAAATGTGATTCACTGAAGGAACCTGAGAACGAGTTCTATATGATGGGTAAGAATGTCTTAGATTTAGGTAATCTATGGAGAAATTTGAAGTTTTTCGCAATCATTTTTATGCCGAAAATCGCAAAAGTATGTAAATTACAAACTGTACTTTGAACCAAGGTTAACATGTAGATTTCAGTTTGTGAACGTGACGATGTTCAACAGTGAGTCCAGTGCGTTTTTTAAGTCTGTTATAACAGACAACTTGAGGATACGTGAAGAACAGAAAATCGTGAGACCAGATCTGATAAATTTGTTGATGGAAGCACGTAAAGGAAAGCTGAAGCATGAGAAGGAATCGCATGAACAAGACACCGGATTCGCAACGGTGCAAGAATCTGAGATCGGTATGAAGGAGATGCATACGAAGGAGATCACTGATACTGATATCACCGCTCAAGCTTTAATCTTCTTCACTGCTGGCTTCGAAACCGTCTCTACGTTGATGACATTCATGAGCTATGAATTAGCTGTAAATCCGGACGTCCAGAAAAGGCTACAAGAGGAAATCGATGAAACTCATGAAAAATGCAATGGCAAGCTTACCTATGAAACTTTGACCAAGATGAAATACATGGATATGGTTATTTCTGAGACTCTGAGGAAGTGGCCTCCCGCTGTTGCCATGGATCGATGTTGCATAAAACCATACACTATTCCTGCAACTAGACCTAACGAATCTCCAGTCCATTTGAAGTTGGGTGACATCATTTGGTTACCGATTGTTGGTATCCACAGAGATCCTGAATACTATCCGGAACCAGAAAAATTCGATCCTGATCGGTTCAACGATGAGAACAAGCACGAAATAAAACCATTCACTTACAATCCATTCGGTTACGGACCAAGAAACTGCATTGGATCCCGTTTCGCCCTCATAGAAACTAAAACAATCTTCTTTCATCTTCTATCCAAGTACGAGCTCGAAGTGGTACAACAAACGAGAGTTCCGTTAAAGGTAGATAAGAAAAAATTTAGTTTAGATGCAGAAGGCGGCGTTACCTTGGGTTTTAAAATTAGACAATAAAACAATCAATAAAAACTTTGACTTCACTATATACTTTATAATTAATTAATGTATTTCAATAAATAAGATATTTTTGTCAATATTATTTAAATCACAAACACGGCAAACGAATTACATATTCCGTGTGGTATATTTTCTCAGTATGATGAAAATCTTCGAAATGCAACCACTTGTTTTTGTTGCTTAAAACAGCGGTTTCCAAACTTTTTAATACTACTCCTCATATGAAACAATATAACCTTGGCACCTTTTCTTGCTTCTGCCCCCTTTCAATGTTTATACCGCCTGTGACTCTACATCATATCACGACAAGGTCCTGTATTTTGAACGTTGATATTTATTTTTTTTCGACTTTGAACGCAAATTACAGCCAATTGGATAAAACCATAACCAATGTGTAAATATTCACTACATTCCCCAAGCATCCAGCTTTCATATATATTCAATCTATTATAGTAAAATCTCTGAATGATGTAATTTCATATTTTAAAAATTAGATACTTTACAATTACAAAATATTAAACAATATTTTAGCCGTTCATACTTCAATTTGTTATTTTTTTAATATGATAAGTTCCTGTGTAATCAAAAAGCTCTAATGAATAAAAAAATAATAATCCAAAGTATGATACAGACGTACAACAAGCTATTTGTTTGAATTATCATTATGGCCACATAAGTGATACTTCGATAATATAAGTTACATATATTATACTTTAATTTTCTGTCACTTTAATTTATAATTGTTGAAGATCAAAATACCAATAATTTAAATATATTAATTTAATATCAAAAATAGTGTCTCTTCAAAAAATATTTTTTAAATTATAATTTTCCTAATTTCTTTCATAATTTGACACTAACGATTAAAAAATTTCATTACATATAATGTAATACTCATAAGATACTTTTAGAAGGTTACTAAGATGCAATATATTACGAAATATTTTGTAATAAAAAGGTTATTGAACTTTCCCATTAGCAGCAACAGGTAGACAGATCACGAATGGTGAGTCGAAATGCTGTGATAACCTTGTAAAAAGGTGATGCAATTTTGCATTTTGCAAGGTTATCAAATACAAATCATTTTATACGAAAACATTGCAATGTTTCCAATTAGTTAATAGTATAGATGCAAAATATTATAATCTTTATTTAAGTTATGTGCTACAACTTTCGAATTTTATCTTATTCTCATTATTACTTAATGCGCAGAAGTTTCTGTAACAGCACATTGTGAAGTGGGGATTGTGAATCAGCCGGTATTAATATCAGTCACATCTTATTGAGCGAAGCACAATTCAAATGTAAGTCTACATCAAATTTCAAGATCTACCTGCGATACACAAACATAAACTAATTATTATCAAAATATTTTCCAGATGTGGTTATACCTGTTCTTATTATTTTGCGCTATTCTAACGTATTACGTGATTAGGCACTATTCCTACTGGAAAAATCGTAATGTCACGCAAGGGCCGATCGTGCCCATCTTCGGGGACAATCTCCTTACCGTGTTTCGAAGGGAATCCTTCTTCGATATGATGAACAGGCTTTACCAGAGATTTCCTAATGAACGGTAGTAACACAAATATATAACTTTCATTACTTATTTTTAGTATTTTGCAGATATACCGGTTTCTATCAGATGAATAATCCTATGTTATTAATCCGTGATACTGAATTGATGAAGATGGTAACAGTTAAGGACTTCGACCATTTTACAGATCATAGGACCTTTCTGCCAGACAACTCCGATCCTTTGTGGAGCAAAAATTTATTTGCGTTAAAAGGTATATTAATTTATTCCAGTAAGTTCATTAAAATACTTAATATAATGGATTTTAGGAGATAAATGGAGAGAGATGAGAGCTACCATGAGTCCCGCATTTACCAGCAGTAAAATGCGCGCAATGTTTTGTCTAATGAATGAGTGCGCTGAGCAACTTGAGAATTACTTTCAGGAGGAAAGTAAAAAGGGACAAATAGTGCGTAACATGAAGGATGTCTTCACGCGTTACGCCAATGATGTAATAGCGACTTGCGCATTCGGTATAAAATGTAATTCACTGAAGGAACCTGAGAACGAGTTCTATATGATGGGTAGAAATGTCTTAGATTTAGGTAATCTTTGGAAAAATTTGAAGTTTTTCGCTATAATTTTTATGCCGAAAATCGCAAAAGTATGTAAACTACAAATTGTACATTGAACCAAGTTTAACATGTAGATTTCAGTTTGTGAACGTGACGATGTTCAACAGTGAGTCCAGTGCGTTTTTTAAGTCTGTTATAACCGAAAACTTGAGGATGCGCGAGGAACAGAAAATCGTAAGACCTGATCTGATAAATTTGCTGATGGAAGCACGTAAAGGAAAGCTGAAGCATGAGAAGGAATCGCAAGAGCAAGACGCCGGATTTGCAACAGTGCAAGAATCTGAGATTGGAATGAAGGAGTTGAAATCGAAGGAGATCACTGATACTGATATCACCGCTCAAGCTTTAATCTTCTTCACTGCTGGATTCGAAACCGCCTCAACATTGATGACATTCATGAGTTATGAATTGGCTGTAAATCCAGACATCCAGAAAAGACTACAAGATGAAATCGACGAAACTCGGGAAAAATGCAATAACAAGCTTACCTACGAAACTTTGACCAGGATGAAATACATGGATATGGTTATTTCCGAGACCTTGAGGAAGTGGCCATCCGCTATTGCCATGGATCGATGTTGCGTAAAACCATATACTATTCCTGCCGCTAGACCCAACGAATCTCCAGTCCATTTGAAGTTGGGTGACATCATTTGGTTACCGATTGTTGGTATCCACAGAGATCCTGAATACTATCCAGAACCAGAAAAATTCGACCCTGAGCGTTTCAACGATGAGAACAAGCACCAAATAAAGCCATTCACTTACAATCCATTCGGTTACGGACCAAGAAACTGCATTGGATCCCGTTTCGCACTTATGGAAACTAAAACAATATTCTTCCATCTTCTATCCAAGTACGAACTCGAAGTGGTACAACAAACGAGAGTTCCGTTAAAGGTAGATAAGAAAAGTATTAGTTTAGATGCAGAAGGCGGCGTTACTTTGGGTTTTAAAATTAGACAATAAATCAATTAAAAAACATTAATTTCACTTTATACTTTATAATTAATTAATGTATTTCAATAAATAAGATATTTTGATTATTTTTACCTATATTATTAAAATCACAATTACGGCATACTATTTACATATACATTTTGAATGCAATTTAATAATAATAATATTTTTTGCTATAGTATAGCACAAAAATCAGTAATTTTTTTAAATATGTCATTTATGGAAATAATCGTATAAACTTTATTATCAAGTTGCATATTTTTTTCAAAACTTAAATTTTCTTTCGTTTTTCTTTAAGATCGTTTAAGATCAAAATTCCAATAATTTAAATATATTCGATATTTTTTTATTTACAAAGCAATCTATCTACAAAAAAAGAAAAACAGATATATCAAATAATAAAAATAATAATATTTATTAGCGGGTAGAAAGTTGACTTTTTTTGAAATTATATTTATTTTGTATTCTTTATTTCTGTATATGTTTTTTTTTTGTATGATGCAATAAACATTATTATTATTTAATATTTATTAGTCTCAATGCGACCAAAGGGCTATCGACCTAAGTCTTTCCGCCCAATATATTCTGTCGAAAACAATTTTTTTCTTATCTCTTCAAAAAATATTTCTGCAATTATAATTAAAATTTTCTTAACTGCTACTCGAAATATATTTTCACAAGGAGATGCTTTCTTATTAGCAGAAACAGGTAGACAGATCTCGAGTGTTGAGTCGAAATGCTGTGGAATTGCATCACCTTCTTGCAAGGTTATCAAATACGAATCATGTAATACGAAAACAATACAATCCTTTAAATTAGTAGTATAGATTCAAAATATTATAATGGTTATTTCAGTTATTTCAGTGTTACAACTTTTGATGTATATGTTATTCCCATCATTACTTAATGCGCAGACGTTTCTGTAACAGCACATTGTGAAGTGGGGATCGTGAATCAGTTGGTATTAATATCAGTCACATCTTATTGAGCGAAGCACAATTCAAAAGTAAGTCTACCTCAAACCACAAGGTCTTCTTCCGATACGCAAACATAAACTAATTATTATCCAATTATTTTCCAGATGTGGTTATACCTGTTCTTATTGTTTAGCGCTATTCTAGCGTATTACGTGATAAAGCACTATTCCTACTGGAAGAATCGTAATGTCACTCAAGGGCCTATCGTTCCCATCTTCGGGGACAGTCTCCTCTCCGTGTTCCGAAGGGAATCCTTTTTCGATATGATGAACAGGCTTTACCAGAGATTTCCTAATGAAAGGTAGTAACAAGTAAAAGGTAGTAACTTTCATTATTAATTTTTATTATTTTGCAGATATACCGGTTTTTATCAGATTTATAATCCGATGTTAATAATCCGTGAACCTGAATTGCTGAAGATGGTAACAGTCAAGGACTTCGACCATTTTACAGATCATAGGACCTTCCTACCAGACAACTCTGATCCTTTATGGAACAAAAATTTATTTGCGTTAAAAGGTATTTTAACCAGGTATTTTATGCCAGTAATTTTATTCAAATACTTAATATTATGGATTTTAGGAGATAAATGGAGAGAGATGAGAGCTACCATGAGTCCAGCATTTACCAGCAGTAAAATGCGAGCAATGTTCTGCCTAATGAATGAATGCGCTCAACAACTTGAGGATTATTTTCATGAGGAAAGTAAAAAGGGCCAAATTGTGCGTAACATGAAAGATGTCTTCACGCGTTACGCCAATGATGTAATAGCAACCTGTGCATTTGGTATAAAATGTGATTCTCTAACGGAACCGGAAAACGAGTTTTATATAATGGGTAGGAATGTCTTAGATGCAGGTAATCTATGGAGACATTTGAAGTTTTTAACTATCATTTTGATACCGAAACTTGCAAAAGTATGTAAAATACAAATTGTTCTTCGAACAATGGTTAATATATATATATTTCAGATTGTGAACGTGACAATATTCAACAGGATGTCAACTGCGTTTTTCAAGTCGGTTATTACCAATAACTTGAGAATGCGCGAGGAACAGAAGATAGTACGACCTGATCTAATTAATTTATTAATGGAAGCGCGTAAAGGGAAGTTAATGCACGAGAAGGAAACGCAAGAGCAAGACGCAGGGTTCGCAACTGTTCAAGAATCGGAGATTGGTTTGAAAGAAATGAAAACGAAGGAAATCACAGATATTGATATCACCGCTCAAGCATTAATCTTTTTTATCGCCGGTTTCGAGACCGTCTCCACGTTGATGACCTTCATGAGCTACGAGATAGCAGTAAATCCTGATATCCAGAAGAGGCTACAAGAGGAGATCGATGAAACGCGCGAAAAAGGCAATGGAATACTTACCTACGAAACTTTGACTACGATGAAATACATGGATATGGTTATTTCGGAGACTCTGAGGAAGTGGCCACCCACTGTTGCCATGGATCGTTGTTGCGTAAAACCATACACTATTCCTGCAACTAGACCTAACGAATCTCCAATCCATTTGAAGTTGGGTGACATCATTTGGTTACCGATTGTTGGTATCCACAGAGATCCTAAATACTATCCGGAACCAGAAAAATTTGATCCAGAGCGTTTCAACGATGAGAACAAACACCAAATAAAGTCGTTTACTTACAATCCATTTGGTTACGGACCAAGAAACTGCATCGGATCCCGCTTTGCCCTCATGGAAATTAAAACAATTTTCTTTTATATTCTATCGAAGTTTGAGCTCGAAGTAGTACAAAAAACAATAGTTCCGTTAAAGGTAGATAAGACAAAATTTAGTTTAGATGCAGAAGGTGGCGTTACGTTGGGTTTTAAAATAAGACAACAAAACAAATAATGAAACAATTAATGTTAATATATACATTATTTTGTACCGATATTTTTAAAATAACAATATACTAAACATTATTTAACTACGATCAATATCACTTTGTTTATATATAGAAAAATATATTCAATAAATTTCTGTATTTAGTTTAAGTAATTTTATACAAATTTTAAATGCAGTAAATTATAATTACTCGCGCACTTGTATAAACAAAATTCACATTCTATACATTATTTATTTATTGCACTTTTTACAAAAACAAGTAATTAATAAACATTTAGATTCAATTTGATATTTAATAAAAAATATACAAGCTGATCAACAAGCGCCAACATATAAAAATAGTTCTTATCTGAATTACGAATACAGACTTAATAAAAAATTATCATTAAAAAGCAAGTCATTTAAAACGAATAACAAAACATACAATCTACACAAACAAATATTGATGATAACCCAAGAACTTGAATTAATTGTATGTTATTAAATCTTTGACGTTAATAAAATTATTAATAAACAAATAATCACAATATATGTACAATTATATAATTCTACTGGAATCGTTCTACATTTTTGTCCATGCAGCATAGTTTTTCAATACGTTTGTTTAGAAATGTTAAATTAAACAGAAAATCTCTGCATTCTACCGAATAATATATACCATGGGATCTGTGTGTCAAAATTGAAAAAAACGTAGCTTAACTCGGGTGCCGTGTCACTTGGATAAATAGATGATAGGGAGGGATGACTTCAAATACTTGTTCATATGTGATGTCATAGGTTCGCCATCACTGATCTATATCATTGGTCTGCAACATTTTGGACTCATAAACCATTTTTTTAAATTATATCTATTTCAAAACAAACAGAGATTCGCACGTTTTTACCACTGGTCCGCAAACCGAGTGATAAAACCAGATTGTTTAATAACGAAAATAGTAGCAATTATTCATTTAAAAAGTCAGATGAGGAACCGTGGGTTGCAGGCCATTTCCATAACCTGAATAAACGTTGTATTTTTAAACACATTAATTTTCATCCTCTTTAATTTCAAATTATTAAAAATCAAATTGCTGTTAATTGATGCATTTTGTATATTTAATAATATTTTAAAATCTGAGGTTTATGAACTTTCCAATAAGCAGAAGCACTTAGATTGGTCTCGAATAGTAAATCGAAACACCGTAGAATTGCAACATCATTTTGCAAGGTTATCAATGAAAACGTAAACAATTCAATCCTTCCAATCAGTTGAGAGTATAGATTTACAAGATTAAAACTGTTATCTAAGTTATCTATTACCACTTCTCATACTATGTGTTATTCACATTATTATTTAATGCGCAGACGTTTATGTACTATAGTGAAGTGGGAACTGTCAATAAATCGGTAATAATAACAGTCTGGACGTTTACATCTTATTGAACGAATATAATTGTAAGTATACCTGACATCACAAAGTTACATATACAAACAGAAACTAATTATTATCTAATTATTTTTCAGATGTGGTTATATCTGTTACTAATATTTTGCGCTATTCTAACATATTACGTGATTAGGCATTATTCCTACTGGAAAAATCGTAATGTCACTCAAGGACCGATCGTTCCCATATTCGGAGACAATCTTCTGACCGTGTTCCGAAGAGAATCATTCTTTGAAATGATGAACAGGCTTTACAAGAGATTTCCTAATGAAAGGTAGTAACGTGGATAAATAACTTTCATCGCTTACTTTAATTAGTTTGTAGATATACTGGTTTCTATCAAATGAATAATCCTATGATATTAATCCGCGATCCTGAATTGTTAAAAATGGTAACTGTCAAAGATTTCGACCACTTTACAGATCATAGGCCCATCTTACCTGATAACTCCGATATTTTATGGAGCAAGAATTTGTTTGCATTAAAAGGTATTTTAATTGAATCCAGTAATTTCATTCAAATACTTAATATTAGGATTTTAGGAGATAAGTGGAGAGAGATGAGAGCTACCATGAGTCCCGCATTTACCAGTAGCAAAATGCGCGCAATGTTCTGTCTAATGAATGAGTGCGCTGAACAACTTGACAATTACTTTCAAGAGGAAAGTAAAAAGGGCCAAATTGTGTGTAACATGAAGAATGTCTTCACGCGTTACGCCAATGATGTAATAGCGACTTGTGCATTCGGTATAAAATGTGATTCACTAAAGGAACCTGAGAACGACTTTTATATGATGGGTAGGAATGTCATAGATTTAGGTAATCTATGGAAAAATTTGAAGTTTTTTGCTATCATTTTTATGCCGAAAATCGCAAAAGTAAGAAAAATACTAATTGTTTTTGGAACAAAGGTTAACATATAGATTTCAGTTTGTGAACGTGACGATGTTCAACAGTGAGTCGAGTGCGTTTTTTAAGTCTGTTATAATCGATAACTTGAGGATTCGCGAAGAACAGAAAATCGTAAGACCAGATCTGATAAATTTGCTGATGGAAGCACGTAAAGGAAAGCTGAAGCATGAAGGGGAATTGCAAGAGCAAGACGCCGGATTCGCAACGGTGAAAGAATCTGAAATTGGTATGAAGGAGGTGAAATCGAAGGAGATCACTGATACTGATATCACCGCTCAAGGTTTAATCTTCTTCACTGCTGGATTCGAAACCGCCTCAACATTGATGACATTCATGAGTTATGAATTGGCTGTAAATCCGGACATCCAGAAAAGACTACAAGAGGAAATCGATGAAACACACGAAAAATGCAATGGCAAGCTTACCTATGAAACTTTGATCAAGATGAAATACATGGATATGGTTATTTCCGAGACTCTGAGGAAGTGGCCTCCCGCTGTTGCCATGGATCGATGTTGTATAAAACCATACACTATTCCTGCAACTAGACCTAACGAATCTCCAGTCCATTTGAAGTTGGGTGACATCATTTGGTTACCGATTGTTGGTATCCACAGAGATCCTGAATACTATCCGGAACCAGAAAAATTTGATCCAGAGCGTTTCAACGATGAGAACAAACACCAAATAAAGCCATTCACTTACAATCCATTTGGTTACGGACCAAGAAACTGCATTGGATCCCGTTTTGCCCTCATGGAAACTAAAACAGTTTTCTTCCATATTCTATCCAAGTACGAGCTTGAAGTAGTACAACAAACAATAGTTCCGTTAAAGGTAGATAAGGCTAAGCTTACTTTAGATGCAAAAGGCGGCGTTACGTTGGGTTTTAAAATAAGACAAAACAAATAATGAAATAATTAATTTTTAATATCACAATATACTAACAATTGATTAACTATGGTATACATTGTATGTCCAATATCACTTTGTATATATGTAGGAACATATATTCAATAAACTAACAGTATTATTAATAAATTCAATATTATACTTTACTCGCAAAAAATTAAATTTTATACATTATTTATTGCAATTTTTACAATAACAAATGTCTAATCAATATGTAGATTATAAGTTTATAATTCAATTTGATATTTAATAAAAAAAATATAAGTAACTAACAATTATTTCATTATCTATTCCCACATGATCATGAAGATTTAAATCTTTGCAAAACTTGATATAGTATTTGGAGTCATGAACCATTTTTTAAATTGTATGTTTTAAAAAAAATAGAGTCGCACGTCGTTATATATACAACCACTGGTCCGCGAACCGTATTTACATATTTTTTTAATCACTAGAATTTTCTTCCGCTTTAATTTAAAATCAAATTGCCCTTAATTGACGCACTTCGTATATTTCGCAATATTTTGAAATCAGATGTTTATGAACTTTCAGATATGCAGAAGCACGTAGAGTGGTCTCGAATAGTGAATCGAAACCCCGTAGAATAGCATCATCATTTTGCAAGGTTATCAAAATACGAATCAATAAATACGAAAACAATTCTATGCTTCCAATCAGTTGAGAGTATAGATTTACAAGATTAAAATTGTTATCCAAGTTATCTATTACCACTTCTGATAATATATGTTATTCACATTATAATTTAATACACAGACGTTTATGTACTATAGTGAAGTGGGAACTGACATCAGCCAGTAATAATAACAGTCTCAACATTTACATCTTATTGAGCGAATATAATTGTAAGTATACCTGACATTACAGAGTCTACTTTCATTACACAAACATAAACTAATTATAATTCTATTAATTTCCAGATGTGGTTATACCTGTTGTTATTTTTTTGCGCTATTCTAGCGTACTACGTAGTAAAACAACATTCACATTGGAAGAGTAAAAATGTCACCCAAGGACCAATCGTGCCCATCTTCGGAGATAGTCTACAGGTCATCTTCAGAAAAGAATCTGCTTATGATATGACTTTAAGAATTTATAACAGATTCCCCAACGAAAGGTGGGCGAAACAAACATAGACGTAACTTTACACACTAATCTATGTTAATTGGTAGATATACCGGCATCTATCAAATGAGCAATCCTATTTTAGTTATACGTGATCCAGAACTATTGAAGACAGTTACTGTGAAGGATTTTGACCACTTCACAGATCACAGGCACTTCCTGCCAGAAGACATAGATCCTCTGTGGAGCAAGAATTTATTCTCATTAAATGGTATTTTTTTAACTTATTAAAATACTCAATAACTATATCTTACTATTTGCTATATCTTACAACTTACAATATTTAAATATATAGATATTCTTAGCAATATAGAATATTAATCAGGTCATCATTTATTTTCAGGTGATAAATGGAGAGAAATGAGAGCTACTATGAGCCCAGCATTTACCAGCAGCAAGATGCGCGCGATGTTTTGCCTCATAAACGAATGCGCTGAGGGACTTGCTGATTATTTTCAAGAAGAGAACAAAAAGGGTCAAGTTGTACGCGAAATGAAGGACGTCTTCACCCGTTATGCCAATGATGTAATAGCAACTTGTGCTTTCGGAATCAAATGTGATTCGATGAAAGAACCTGAAAACGAGTTCTACATAATGGGCAGAAAAGCTACCGACTTCAGTAACCTATGGACAAATTTAAAGTTTATGCTTTTCAGTGTCATGCCAATGATTTCAAATGTAAGTAAATAAAATATAGTTCTATGAACGGTTATTAAAATTTTGTTTCAGTTTGTGGAGGTTAAAATGTTTAGCAAGGAAACGTCCAATTTCTTCATGTCCGTGATCACTAATAACTTAAGAATGCGCGAGGAACAGAACATCGTGCGACCAGATATGATTAATTTGCTTATGGAAGCTCGCAAAGGAAAGCTGAAGCATGAGGGTGAAACGCAGGAACAGGACGCCGGGTTCGCAACAGTCCAAGAATCAGAGATTGGTATGAAGGAGATGAAAACGAAAAGGGAGATTACAGATGTTGACATTACCGCTCAGGCGTTAATCTTCTTCCTTGCCGGTTTCGAAACCGTCTCCACGTTGATGACCTTCATGAGCTACGAGTTAGCAATAAATCCGGATATCCAGAAGAGGCTACAAGAAGAAATTGACGAGACGCGCGAAAAATGCAATGGCAGGCTTACCTACGAAATTTTGGCTACGATGAAATATATGGATATGGTTATTTCCGAGACGCTTAGGAAGTGGCCGCCAGTTGTTACTCTTGAACGATCTTGCGTTAAGCCATATACTATTCCTGCAACTAGACCCAATGAATCTGCCGTCCACCTGAAGGTAAACGATATCATTTGGTTACCATCTGTGGCTATTCAAAGAGATCCAAAGTACTACCCTGAACCAGACAAATTTGACCCGGAACGCTTCAACGATGAGAACAAACATCAAATAAAACCATTCGTATACAATCCCTTTGGTTACGGCCCACGAAACTGCATAGGATCCAGGTTTGCTCTTATGGAAACCAAAACAGTTTTCTTCCATCTTCTTTCAAAGTGTGACCTTGTAATAGTAGAAGAAACGATAGTACCGCTAAAGATCAACAAAAAAATATTTAGTTTAGGCGCTGAGGACGGCGTTACTTTGGGTTTCAAACCGAGGCAAAGAAACAATTAAACAATTATATTTGTCTTTCGTTTATTATAATATCAAATAAACATGTAATTGCATTATTAATTAAATTTAATATAAGCACGAATATAGGTGTTTGAGAAACGGTAGTTTAGATCGGGGGTCGGAAACTTTCTTTAATACACCAACATTATCATTTACGCTGGTATTAACCCATTGTGTCAATGGGTGAGGTTACGAATTCCAATATTTTTCATAGATACATGGAATTTTAGTTGTCGAACGTCTTGGTGACAGAAGAATTCACTTTTATCCCATTTGGAGTAATTTATATATTCATTACCATAACTACCATTTGTTCTACTGAAATGATATTTAGTAACTTAATTTCTTTCATTATTTTTGTAGTATCAGATCTGTTGTCAGTTTAAATTATTTATTCAATTGCATTTTATCCATAAAAAAGTGATATGTGAGTAGTTTCTTTATTAATCTGACTTTATTTATGTAACTTATCGGGGTTACTGAATAATTCTTATTTTTGTTAAACTAAATATAAAATTACCTTTCAATCTCCATCCTCGGTTTAATTCATATTTAAAACCTGATCTTGTATTGTAGTTCAATATCTTCTATAGCTTGCACGCACATATTATTTTAAAATCATTCTCAGATCGATGCACTGTCGTGTCCCAGGGATGGTTTTCTGGACACTGTGGGATATCTTCTTCTATTGTCTGTTGTGGAGCCTTAGGTTTGGTAAATAATAAATTGAACGAGTTTTACTTGATGTTTATTATTAAAATATTCTTCAAAGTGTTTGCTTTATTGTAGTTCTTCACTCAGTAGTTGATTCTTTAGCGTACTTCCTAAGACTAATTACAAATACTTATTCTATGTATAACATTAACTAAGCAAAGGGGTGGAAGTTTGAGCTTCAGGTCACTGCATCTACGGATTTTGCCAATTCTGCGTCTGGTTGAAAATATGAGCGATGTTCTTATCAGTAGTTGGTCTCGATGAAACTGCCTATTCTGCGTCTGCTTTCTCAGTTGAAAATAGGAAGAAATGTTACAATCGGTGAAGGTTCCCTTTATGCTGATGTATATGTTTATATAATAAGATACACTATATTAACAATAATAATTGTAATAATAACTGTTGGACACAACAGCACTCAAACGAATTATTGAAATAACAACTTTCGTTTCGTTTAAAAATGGAAACTCCCCATTGACCATAGACAACTACAATATTTTTCACAACGTGTTTAGTTTTGTTATATTTTGGTTGACTACTATTTTCAGTATATCTGCTAAAATGTACTAAAATACACTGGTTACAATTTTAATTCAAGCAATAGAGAGAATTATCAACTTAAGTTAAAAATTTCATTGTTGTTTTACTAATAATTAGAAAATGATTGAAAATAATAAACACATTCAGAAGCTAAAAAAACTATTTGTAAATGACTTTCACGTGGACACCCACCTGTGCTTCTTGGGGAACTATTTGTACATTTTTATGTTCGATCTGGACAATCCAGGTCATGAGTCGCCCACATTATTTACGCAGGGCACCTCTAAATCAATTCCCTTGGATGAATAGCAGCTTCCGTGTCTTATATTCCAACATAAATTCCTTTCACCCTAAATCCCACCTTATTAAATCCTATATAGTTAAAAATAACATTTCTTAACAATATCCGCGGTGGTTCTTCCGCTCTCGTTCATCCGTCATTTAAGCTGGGCAAAGCAAATCCCCCAGTCATAAATAATCCTGCCAACGAAGTCCTCCATTTTACTATTCCCTTCCACAACTCCAAGATTCCATCAAATATTTTGATTTGAATTAAGAATTAATTAGTAAAAAAAAAGTTTATTTATTAAAAGATTTAATATAACACGAAAAAGTATTAGCAAGTATATAAAAATAAATATCGCGAAAATGTATACATTAATACTTTGCCCCTCGAAACCCAAATATCCTTCCCAAAATTAAATATCCCATATTATCACTATTCCAATACCTAATGTCCCTCGATTGATACACACTTGCTTTTTCCCCCTCATTGTTCTATTTTTCATTTGTATATTATTATTATAATACTGTTATTATTCCATAATTAAATTTATGTTCCCGGGCGGAAAGACCTCGGTCATTAGCCTTTTGACCAGCTTATTAATATATATATATTTTTTATTTAATGTTAGAATGTACTTTTTTTTCTTCTTATGAATTCATTTTTGGCCAATAAATTATTATTATTAATAAACACTGTGATAAACACATTAATTATTTTAATTGAATTTTAATAAATAAATTAACTCAAAAATACGCAAATAATAGTCTATTTTACCAACATATAAAACAACTATGACTAGAATTATTATTCAAAAGCAATATCGGATTAGAAGTACATTCATTCACTTAAAAGAAAATAACATTCTGACACGCCATATGCATTCTAATATTGAGTTCAATCAAGCATTGGGTACTATAATTTGTATATTACTAAAACAAACTATAAACAAATATTTCTTTTATTATTAAATATGAATAAAATGCAATACTCAGAAATACTTATGTGTTCTGTCGAAACTTCTGGATGTTTCAAAATTATTGAATTGAAAATGTCTAGCGCTATTGTCTTTTTTGTTTCCCTCGCATTAAGCAATTATCGATAACATATTGTCATGACATTCATAATGACTCATATCTTATACTTTTGTACTAATTTCAAAAAGAAATATGTATAAAGTTCTTTGGGATCTTTATATTCAGGTTCGACATTAATCTATTGTTCTGCCAATTTTTGAAAAACTTTTCAAAAACCTATTCTACATCCCTAAGTACTATTTATTTATTTGATAGGTGAAAAAAGTGCACCTTCTTATTGATATTTATCCACGCTCCATATAGAAGTGTTTATCGACTCAGCATCAAGTTAGATAGCGTTAAACGGGGTATTACTGTATAACTTTATTAAGGAAAATTGGTGACAATTGGTCCAGTTATCAACAAGTTATTAACAATACACACGTGCATTTGATGTATTTCCTCTAATGCTTATATAGGTGCCACGCCCATCTCAATACCACTTATGAAGTTATTGAACCCTATATTAGAATTAAGGAAGTTCAAAATTGAAAGTAATCTCGTATTTGTCCTATCCATAAAAATAGTTATCATTAAACTGTAGATTTTCAGCTTTGTCCAATTTCGCTAAATAATTTTGCTCATATTTTATAGAAAACCAAATAAAAAATGTATACTTCCTACTTTATCTAAAGTTTAGATATTACATTTTGTTAAATAATACTAAATTCTGCATAATGAAGAAGTATCAAACACTTTAACAAAAACATATGATACTTGTTGATTCCTTGACTTTCCTCTCCATATATTTCATATTGAATCTATTGTTTTCAATATATTTATTTAAGTACATGATTATTACTATCGCGTAATTTATAAGTAGCGAAGTTATTTTATTTATATGTTCACTTTGTTGTATGCAAGTTCTTAAAAATATATTTAAACAGAATATGCTGTGCTGTTTATAATCATATCAATGGCTTTGATTTTGGAATTCTAACTAATGAAAACTACTGAATTCCAGTACCACCAATTTCTAAAAGTCATTAACCCCTTAAATTATCAATCATCACTATTTTTCTTATCCGATTTTTGAGAGCAAAATAATTTTAGTTGCAGTGAAAACGCTACGATAAGATAAGATCGAAGAGTATAAATGAGAAAATGCCCAATAGCAGCACAACAAACGACAGCGAAAATATGTTGGAGTTCGTGGATGTACTGCTGTTCGTATTCGTTCTTCTGCTTGGATATTGGACGCTGAAGCCTCAGCTTCACTGGATGCGAAAGAATGTAACCCAGGGATTCCCGAAGCCCATTGTGGGCGACAGTCTTCGGACCATGTTCGGTATGGAATCATTCATGGACATGGTAATAAGGCTATACAACCGATTCCCAGATGAAAGGTATACATACCATTTTTTAATCTATGGGAAATATTCCTTTATTTGTAGAACTCTGATCTGCAATAAGTTGATGAACTTTTTGGTCAACTTTTAATTTAATATTTTGAATATAGCTACACAGGCGTATACATGTTATCATCGCCGACGTTGCTTTTGAGGGACCCAGACTTGATCAAGCAGATTTTAATTAAAGATTTCGACCATTTCGTCAATCATAAACCATTTTATCCACACGACCACGACCCCTTATGGAACGAAAACCTATTCGCACTCAGAGGTAAGAAACATATCCAACCTGAGAATCGCAGTATGTATGAAAAAGATAAATCTTTAAATTAATCTCTATTTAAAAATTAGTTTTATCTGAAACTTTGAAACAATCTATATTTCTAAATTTAAGGTTTGAAATTCGTTTTAGCAATTGAACAACTTGAAATTTGACTTTCGCAGATGATAAATGGCGAGAGATGAGGACCGTGCTCAGCCCTGCGTTCACGGGGCACAAGATGCGATTGATGTTCGAACTAGTGGACGATTGCGCGTCGCAATTCGTCGAGTTTTTCGGAAGAAAGATTGGCAAGGATGGCGAAGTGCTCGTGGTAGAGCTGAAGGACTCGTTCTCCAGATACGCAAATGATGTGATCGCAACGTGCGCGTTCGGCATTAAAGTTGATTCGCTTCAAGAAACCAACAACGAGTTCTATCAGATGGGGAAGAAAGCTACCGACTTCAATAGTTTCTGGAAGACGGTGAAGGTTATGGCTTGTTCGAACGCACCAGCGCTTGGAAGGGTAATTCGATTATTTCAAGAGTTCGATGTTTGAAATCTTCCATTAGCTTTTCAGATTCAAGGTGTTTTCCAAGGAGGTTTCTGAATTCTTCACGAATTTGATCGTGCGGACTATTGATATAAGATTGCAACATAACATCGTCAGACCAGATATGCTGAATCTCCTAATCGAAGCTAGGAGAAATAAGAAAGCAGCGGCGGCGGAGAACGGGGATGAGGAAAGGATGCTTTCCGATTTGGATATAACGGCGCAAGGGATGCTTTTTTTCTTCGCTGGCTTTGAAACTGTCTCGACACTGATGTGCTTCATGGCATACGAATTGGCCCTGAATCCGATAATTCAGGATAAGCTAAAGAAAGAAGTTGATGTAACCGCCGAGGAATGCAATGGGAATCTTACATACGAGAGGCTTTCGGCTATGAAGTACATGCATATGGTTGTGTCAGGTAAGTAAAAAGTAATTTATTTATATGCAAATTGTGAGGTAAATTGTTGTGTCCGATGCAGAAACCTTGAGGAAATGGCCTTCGGGCATTGTCACGGACAGGGTTTGCGTGAAGCCGTACACAATCCCATCAACAAGAAGCAACGAAAGTGCGGTGCATCTGAAGGTGGGAGATCACGTTTGGCTGCCAATAGCCGGCTTAAACTACGACGAGAAGTACTTCCCTGACCCGAAAGTCTTCAGTCCAGAACGTTTCAGCGAGGAAAATAGGCACGATATCGATCCCTCCACCTACTGTCCTTTCGGCTTAGGCCCCAGAAACTGCATCGGCTCGCGCTTCGCTCTCATGGAAGTCAAAACACTTTTCTTCCACATCCTCCACAAATTCGAGTTTACTGTAGTAAATAAAACCGTCATCCCCATTGAGATCAGCAAAACGCAGTTCAATTTGAACGCTTCAAGCGGCTATTGGTTAGGATTAAAACCAAGAACATGACAGTGTATATTTTATATTAATATAACAATAAGTGATTAAAATAAATATTTTTTCGTACTTGCTTCTAATAACATTGTCATGTGTGCAAATACTGGATATAATCGATGAAGCGTCTAATCGTTATCTGCGTAAACCTAGAACATGATCAAATTCGTCTCATGTTTCTCCATCTTCTTCCGTTGCTCGTGCTTCCATGCGTTGAAATCGGTGAGGATCGGTCGGCCATAGAAATTGTGCAGCTCCCGGAACGACACCTTCTGCGGACTCTCACTGTGCCGCGTCGTGTCTTCAATGCGACCTTGAAAGCAACGCGAAATTATCAATCATCTACTTGCAATATACAATGCACAAATACCTGATCTAAAGCTATGTGATCGCTGGTGATTGTTATCTAACTTATTGAATGGATTATGTCTCTGCCTTGGTGGTGGTATGGGTGAACCCACTACCTGTGACAACTGATTCGGTGTATCTGTTTGGATTTTTTTATTACTTTTATGCATTTTTAATTTTGACATTGATCAATCAAACATACCTTCAATATCAGCCAGCTGTCTTTGAAGCTCAGCAACCATCAGTTTCATGTAATCATAGCCAGCGCACGCCAACGCTTTCATCCATTGTTCCATAGACTCCTGTGATTCAGCGCCCAACACGTAACTACGATTGTTCGTCCCATGGAACTCGATTTTAAAGCAGAACATCTCATCATCTTCAGTCAACTCTAGGAACGTTCAATTAAGCAATTATTACGATTTAGTTATTTCAGATTGTACGAACCTATGGTGCAGCCCTCAAGAATCACCACACCTACGGGCTCTTTATCACCCTTCTTATCAAAATAAAACAAAAGATTTCCTTTCAGCACGAAATAACGCTTCTGGAAATTCTTATTTACTTCGCCCTTTTTGTTCAGGTATCCTTCCTTATCAACCGGCGTCGCCGACACCGCAAACGCACAAAGATTCTTCTCATTTATTTTCATTGTTTATTTTTTGACGACTACACAAGTATAGGTTAAATAACAACTGATTGACTGTCAGATCGGACTAGTATAACTTGATGTAAATGGTAGGCAACTCGGAATACATATGTACTTCAGACAAATTTAATAACTGCTGTTATCAGAATATATTATATCAAATTACAATAAAATATACAGAGATCGGCTTAATTATAACTATTTCATATTAAATAATGTTTACGTTGTGATTAGCGGTTAAGTAAATTCAAGACAATTAGATAAATTCAGTAGCTTCTTAGCAGTTACTCATAATTTGTAATTAACAGGAGTTCGGTCATTGATTAGCTAGGAAAATTATTGTATGTCTATTAAAAATGCAAAGATATCGCTATAAACCACGCACAGTTCCCTTAATATGAATATCAAACTATAATATCCATCCGAGGTTTCTTCTAACACCGAAACTCCGATTTGAAAACAGTTATTTGGTGTAGTCGTTCCACATGCCTTTTCACCTGACTCCGATAACTCAGGCTAGATTAGGTAATTAATTAACAAAAGCTATGGGATGCTTGAAGGGGAAAAGAGAAGATGAAGAAGTAATTAATAGGCAACCAACCAATGACACACTTGTTTTTAAATATATAAAAATAATTTCAAACATAATTATCTGAAAAATCAAAATATTTTATAGTATTTATTGTGTAGAAATGGCTTTGACAACTTTTAAGAAATAACAATGTCAAGGTTACAAAAGCGAGATATTGTGCTTTACCGGCATATCCGTCTGATATAATGTATAAAATCAATAATGGAATAAATATTATTCAACTTTCTAACGTGTGTATATGAAGCTCTAATTAGATTCTGTACGATTCCAGTCGTGTGCGGAAAGCGTAAATCTACACATTATCACGCAGAGACATTACAAATTTGCGATAAGATAAAGTCGACTATTTTATTAAATAAAAAAGAAGACGACAATGGCATCATCAGCATGGTATATTTCGTGGAGCTCTAAAAAACAAGGAATGGATTCAATAAAAGAGCAGTGCGATATTCAATCAGGTATATACTACATCCCAGTAATATTTCTTATTTGTTTCTGTTGTTCTTTTAATTCGTTTAAACTTTATAAGGAGATATTCAGACGAAGGAAAAGGTGAAGAGGAAAAATAGGATATCGTTCATCGATGTGCATAGCAGCTACGGTAGACCGATCATCACGGATTTGTACGCTTGGAAGAAAACACAGACGAACGAAAACTAATTGAATTTATTAATGTTTGTTGCATTCATTCTTGTGAGAATGAACGAACTTTGTCGTTAATTGTTTACAATAAAAGTCAACGGAATTTTCTGCGTACCGTTCGGAAAGAATCTCGACCTTCACGGAATAGTCCAGTAGGTATTTACAATGATCGCTGCCTGTAAGGCGAAGCACCGTCTCAAGCATTTCCTTCTTGATCAGGGAGATATTCTTTTGGCCGATTAGGTCCATACACTTGGCAAACTCCAGAGCCACCCGTTCGTCCGTGCGGAACGCCTCGAATTTCCCGATCACCTTACTCAACAGGCATGTAGTCAACTTCAAATTGATGAACGAACACCTCACCACCTCCGAGTAAATGACCAGCAACTTCTCGAAAACCCTCACGTCGGCACACTTCGTCACGGAATCGCTGAGCCAGTTCAAAAAGTTAAAGTTGGCGTTCACACGTTTGAAGCAATTCTGGTATTTCGTAGTCTTCATAATGATCTCCACGATCTTCAACTTCAATTCAGCGGAAGACGCGTGGCTAGTGAACATCTCCATCAAATACACAAAGATGTTGTTATCGAATAGAACCCAAACGTCCTTTTCGGCGCGAAGCCCGTCACAAATGACTTCCAAGATGAACATCTGATGCTCCAGATTCGTTGAAGTAAGCATCTGCAACATGTCCGGAACTGTATTCAGAGGTATACTCTCCATAGCCCCCAAGTACATGATTATTGGCTCGTACATCGCGTTCCGATTACTCGCCAACATCGTCACTGCCTTGCTCAAGTAGACTGCAGCCACATTGCTGATCTGGTAGTTCTTCGTCTTCACAACACCCTTACAAACGGCCGCTATGAACCTGCTATACACAATAGCGAACTTTTGCTCTGTTCTAAACTTCTCCAACGATTCGTACAACCTCCCCAGTACGTACCAGGCTGCCATCCTAGTCTTCTCGCTGTTGTTTGCCAAAGCCAAAAGCACCAAGCTCAGGGCACCGCTACGCGCAAACTTTGGTGCTAGTAATCCAATCTTCGTAGTCTTTAAAAGATTACTGAAATATGGCAAAAAGAAGCTCAAATTATACACCTCATCGTTGCAACTACTACTCTCCCAGAAATCGACATCAAGACTGCAGTTTTTAATCGTGTTCTGCACCTTAATCATATCCAGACCTCCCAAGACCTGCCTAATCTCTTCGTGGCTGTTGCGCTCTTTGTTTTCCAAATCGTATATATCATTAGCACCTGGTCCCCAGACGATTGGCATAAATGTGTAAAATTGCGTGCGAGCAGCATTCAACTCATACAGTTGCAATAAACTGAATACCTTTAAATCCGCATTGGAATTCGTCGCTCCATAACACGCCAACAGCAATCCCAAACTCTCCTTCTTCAAAACTTCGGGATACTTCTCTCCGAGGCACATAATAATTCCCAATAGCTCCTCTTTGTAGCTCCCCTTGTCATTCAGCAATATTTTAGCGCAATTAGCGTGCGTACCGATCTGGCCCATAAGTCGACCAGCAATTTCTGAAGAGAAATCCACTAATTGCAAGAACCTGGACAAAAGTTTTAACAGGTATAGACGTGAGTTCATGCCCTCTATGAGCAACGTCTGAGCAAAGTCCAAATTGCAAGTCAACTTATCAACACTTTCTAATAATTTGTGGAATCCCTTAGCGGCTACTTCCACCTCAACATACTTCTCCAATTTGCATAAATCCAACACGGATTTGATTAACTTCGATATGTGTTCGTCAACAAGAATAGGATTACTTCTGAGCAATGAAAATGCTACTGCAATTTGGTGCGATTCAACGCTAGCCTCATATTTCCCCATAAACTTCTCGGCTTGCTTCTGCGAGGAATGTAAAGCAATTAACTCGCATATTATATCATAATTTTTGAAAAGGAGATCATCGCATTTTGGATTCTTTAAGAAAGCTCTTATGTCCAGCAGCTGGAATAACCAAAGCAGCTCTTCCGGTGTAGTCTTCAAATCGAAAGCGGCCTTTAGCAAGTGAACGAGCAAATTGCTTTGCTTGATCTGCAAAGTTTCCAGAAAATCTTTCCTATTCTTACCGCATCTGAACAGGTTCACGATCAATTGAATCTCTGACCCATCGAAATCTGGTTTGCACAGGAAACTATCAATTAATTTATCATCCACGCACTTCAATAGATGTGGATATTTAACGATCATAAAATCGACGATCTTCGAGAGTCGCGCACTGTCATAATTGCTCTTGTTTAGATATATTAAGTGATTTAGCACCAGTTGAAAGGTCTCGGCGCTCACCATTTTTTCCTCTTTTAACAATGCCTCGGATGCCCAAATGAATATATCAAAGAATATTTTATTATCAATAAACGATTTCGAGTTGAATTTAGCGAAATGTTGAAATACCTTCTGACCTTCATCAACGTTTAAATGTACAAATTGTATCAACTTGCTTAATAAATCTGAGTCATGTTTCGCTCTTAAATCGATTTTCAACACAAATTCGCATATTTTGGTTCTGTACTCAATCATCTCGCCGACGTCATCTTCCAACAAATCGACCACGAATTTATTCGCATTGTTTTTCGACCCTAAGTCGAATTTAGTTTTCAGCAAATTCTCACTCAAAATATCTTGTGGTTTTGCTAGTGATTTAGCAGATTTCAAGCAGATTTGGTAGCCTTCCTCGCTCATTTCGTGGTAATTACAGATGTAGAAAATTATCATCCTTAATAAATGCGGATTATTTACTGTCAGTATATCGGTGTATTCTTCGCCTTTGAAAATGGCCTTACTCAATTGCGACATTTTTTCGAATGAGCCACAGGATAGCCTCTTTGCTTTTCCATTTCCCCAGCTCTTGATGTACTTGAATACATCAGAATCGATGTTTTCGTGGAAGTTCAACAAAAATTTTATGAACTCACCTGTATTGATTACGCGATGCAGCCAGTTCAAAGCGACGAAGTTTACGTAATCTTGCTGCTCCGTTTTGGTGGAAAAGATCAGGTACATCAATTTTGAAACTCTTCCAACTTTGTTGATTTTAATGCTAGCAAGCAACTTCTTTCCCAAGAATTTCACCACATCCATATTCATAGTCTCGAAAGACAAAATACCGTCGATCCAAACCTCGATTTCGCTTTCGTCTTCGTCGAATACCATTGTTTGTTTGAATATTCTGCAAACACCCTTTCTCACCTCATCTTCTCTATTATCGAATAGATAAAGTAAAACCGATTTCAAGATCCGTTGGAAGCTTTTCGTCGAGCACAAGGCGAGATCCTCGCCAAATGTTTCAAACACCTCCACAGATTTGATGACAATTCGAGCGAATTTATCGCCATCCTCGTCGATGCTGTTCAAGAAATTTATCAGATTAATCTCCTCCAGAAGATACGGGCAGCACGTCTTGTAAAGTTTAAGTATATTCAAGACGATTTCGACTTTGTCCGTCTTGGACTCGCCATCCTCCACATTACATCTTTCCAGAAGCACACCGCTCGTTGGAAGAGCATCCATTATAGTCACTTCAAGATTTTGCATAAGTTTGGAACAAAACTCTTCAGAATACCAACGTCTTGAGGTATCCTGATAAGAAATAATTAATTCAACAACTTTTTCTAGAGCTTTCAGTGATTCCAGAACATTTTTAGGGTCTTTCTTGAATCCATTTACTTCATCCACTAGCACTTTCAGAATTGTAGGTGGCAGAATATATTGCTGCATAATTCGACTAAACTGAAATGTTAATAAATTAGTTAATTATTAAATATTCGAAATTAAGTTATAGTTACATCTTCAACTTGTAGATATTTCTTAGTGTAGTCAAGACAACTTGGATGTAGCGCTTCGAGGAATAGCGGGATGTACTCAAAAGCTTTCGCTCTGCTCGATCTCTCGTCTGTATTCTCAATGTGTTCCTGCAGTTTCTTCCACATGATCGGAGCCAAATCAACTAAGTAACTGCACAGCTTGGCGACAAACAATTTAACATGTCTATGTTCCCAAGGTTTCTCCATCTTATCCAACACGACTACGATGGGCTCCAACCTATTTGCACAGTAGGAATTCAAAATAAACCTTTTGCTAGGATTGACGAAACCATATTTCGTGTATATGAATAAAAGAAATTCGTGCAGACACTCTGAAACTTTTTCCTTTTCCTCCTTGTTGGCCAATGCTTTTGGATTTGTTAGCGACTCAGGTCCAACCCAATTGTATAATCGCACCAAATTTGTGACGAGTTGCGGTTGAAATATTTTCACTACGATCTTAGTACGCACAGTCCTCTTATTCGAAAGGCTATGTTTGTCAAGGGCCGTCAGCAGCGTCGACAGAAACAGACAAACCAAATTTGCAGGATCATGCTTTAATCCAGCAATAATGAAACCAATCAACTCTGGATTCAGCAGTATCAAACTCACAGCATTTACTTTGGGATTCACAATGTATGCCATAATGAATCTTATGAAAGCATTTCTTACACTCATTGAGTTCTTGCCATCAGCCAAGTTTTTTAAATGTTCCAGTTTCAACTTCAAATTCAGGAAGACATAATTAGCAAGTACTGGGGACAACAGAACCACATTAGATAATAACTTCAGTGTAGCAATATTAGCATCCTCGTCAGTCCCAGATATCATATTCTTGATAATGTCAAAGTGATTGTTAAAGAACTTGTAGTACATCTTGAATAAATACTGCTCCTTTGACTTTTGTTTCACCATAATATAACGAGTTATGAAGTTGCATATTTCCATCACAAGGTTATTTGGAACTGTGGTGTCTGTGCTAGTGAGTACATATAAAATTTCTTCACATGATCCCCCATTGTTCAGGTATTCCACAATGCTTTCCGGATCATCACAACAATCCTTATAAAACAACCTGAATGCTAAAATAGATTAAATGAATATTAAGACTGTGATAAAAGTATTGAAATAAACTCACCATCAGATACATAGTCTGTTTTGATTTGTTTTCGGAATTCCTCTATTGAAATCAATGTGGAGCGTGGTTTCTTCGCGCTATTATCGCTTTGACCATCAGCGATTTTCCTTTTTTTCCCCATATTTACACACACCTTATTTGCAGGTTAACCTGCGATTTGAAAACAACACAACACGTGTGTGTCAACTAAAGCTATTCTTGTTGCCTATCCCTTTGTCTCTATGTATAAATAACATGAAAAAAGTAAAATCCCTATGGAAATTTTCGAATCATATCGGTCACGACAAATACAACTATCACAACACAAAACTTGTTACTTTTATCAGCTTGAATGTTATTATACTCAAAGAACTATGAATGACGTTGGAACCCCAGGTCGTTTTGTTTCTTCTATGTTTTTATAGAACCCGTGAATTTATACTAAAACCGAGGCTGACGTAATTGTCTCGATGTAACACAGGCTAAGTGTACAACAGGAGGTGAAAAACCCCAGGAAAGAAGAACTATGAATGACTGAAAATTGAAAAATAATTCTAGTAAATTAATCCGATTTTATTCTCTGAGGCTTTTTTATTGGACGTATTACATAATAAATAATAAAATTTGACTAATCATAGTCTAAGATTTGTAACGTTATAACACTTTCGCCGTTCGTCATTTCCTCTTCAATAATCTCTACATTCTGTATATCCTGAACCTGCTGTTCAGTATTCTCGTCAATCATTTGCTTTGTAACGTCGCAACCAAAGTAGTCTTCTTGTGTGATTAGAGTTTCATCATTGAGCCCATTGTAGTTGTATAAACCCCAGATCCAAATGAGTCCTGTCATTTTGTCGATTAGCGGATTAAGGGCATCGAAGAACGCCGCATAACCGTGTTTCTCAATCATATTCGGCTGCCACCACTTGTCTAAAACTTTAGAATATTTCATGGCGGAACCCTGTCGCTTTAACTTCTCTCCAAGCAACACTTTCTTGTACAAGCTGGTAGACCAATCATCAATAGACAATAGTTTATCTACAACATGAACATGTATAAAAGTATAAATAAATTTTTACATTAAATTACCATTGATATCAAAGAATCCGAACTTCTTGTTTGCCGAAATACTATCACGTATCCTCTTGTACACAACGAATATGTTCTCATTGATGCTATCCATGTTGCAGTAGTTGGTAAAGACCTGCGGTGTAACCGAGTTTATCCAAACTTCTTGCACATACATGAACAAAGGTTCAAATAGTGCTTCACAGCTGTAGTTCTTAGCTTTGTCTTTAATAAATTCCAGTCCTCCAGGTATCAGTGGAGGCGGTAGGATTGGCAACGCATATAAATTAGTAAGTATCTTCATGCAAATTGGTTTCATTTCTATTTCTTTCACGATGTCTATAACGTTGCACTGTTTGTAAATAGCAAAAATGTAGTGAACGAGAGAACCGCTGATATTGGAGTGCTTGTAAACATGATTCAAAGCCTTGAACAGATCCGCGTTATAATCGGTGATGATCTCTTCAGGATGCAAATCCGGAGCGTACTTATCTTTAAAAAGCGTTAACACTTGGATCAAATCCTCCAACGATAACGAATCCATTAAAGCGTACAAAACAGGGAATCTCTGCAAGAGAGCATTAACTGGATTTTTGAAGACTGCACTATTTTGTGTGAACTTACATGCTCGTTGACCGATATGCAGATAGTCATAAAATGTTGACTCCTTCCGTTGTCGAAATCAACTCTAAACGAGGTATCTATAAAAATCTCATTGCTCCAAGACATACTCTCTATGAGATCAGTGTTTGCGAATATGACGGAACACGTGCTCATCTCTTCATCACCGATGGCATCTTGGAAGAACTCCTTTCCATCGTGTGTCTTACAATATTTGGCCGGACTCTCGGTGACCAATACTTCTGCGAACTTTGTCAAGTTCTCAATGAAGAAATGCTGGTTCCCAGTTAAGCGGTACAGACGCGAGGAGAGAGTCGAGTATGGCATGCTGGCAGCAAGATTTGGGAATCTGAATATCACAATAATATATAATCTCCAAATATGTATCTGCAATGCAATTGCACGGCTCCAACGCTTTTTTTTAAACTAGTTATAAAGTGATTAATTCATAATTTTCATTACTTCTCTATTGCTTTCAAGTAGATTTGTCTAGCAGTGAAGTTGCCGGACTGAGCTATGGTCCGCATTTCCTGCAGAAACTTCAACTTCGAGATATGTAGTGTTTCCTTCTGGTGGTTGTGCAAACGATAAACGTAGAGTTCCTCTTCCAATGCAGGATCCGTCAGAATGTCAATGCAAGCTTTTCCTGGGCAGTTTTTCATCGTGGAACATCGCAAATATCTAAAATAAATTTAAACAACGGTAATTGCATTTTCAAACACATAGAAATGCACAATAAATTTACCTCCTATTTGTTGTATTCCTAGTATTAATATACAAAAAACCATTTGCCTCATAAATCACATTAGAAGAATTCTTATACCCATTCAAAATAGTCATCTTGAACATACCCAAATCTAAAAATATACACTTAAACAATGTAAAAGCATATTTTTATATCAAATACCTGGATGATTGTCATCTTGCACATTCTCCTCACTTTTCACTTCATTAGATTCAATAAACTCCCTATCTTTAGGATGTATCACCCTGATTTCCTTGCCATCAGCCAATCTCATAATTGATTTAGAAACCAACTTTGAAGTTGTTGGTTTATCTGCTGGCCACTCATACTCATCCTCACAATCACCATCTTCTGGTACAGTAGGATTATTACAAATAATTTCTGTCCTCTCAATTACATTTTCAAAATCAATATTTTTTGTCTTTATAGATTTGGAATTGGATGGACAATCTGTGCTTAAACTCCTCCGTTTCCTGACAATGGATGGTTTAAAAACATTGCATAGCAATGTCTGTGCCCTGCGACACTTTTCCCGAAACTCAAAAGCTTGCAGCAGAAGAGCCTGGCAATCAAAGCAAATAGTCATTGGGTATGGGTCATAGTCAATTATCTAAAATGAAACAATTTATGAAAAATTCTTCGGAGATATTTGTAATATTCCACTTTAATTGGACTGCAATCATTGTACATCTCCTTAAATGTAATCTTCTTTTCAAATCCCTCTGAGACTTGCATAAAGTCTGTTACGTTTTGTTTTTCTAGAACACATACCCTGCAGAATTTAGTCCTAAAATTAACAAATTTAAAGCCACAATTCATAGAAGAAAAGTATAATTGGAATTATTTGATATTGGAATTGGTTCAATTCAAATATATTACCCACCCGCTATTCATTGCGGAAAGCAATTCCAAAATACCTGAAAACTTATTTGCTGTTAACTCCACACATATTTACTAAATGTTCAATGTAAAAATAAACAATCAACCATCAATAAGCAAGTGTATCTTTGGTAGACTATACATAATTAGATAGGCAACTAACTACAACTTTATTAAAAAAATACACTTTTAGTTTTATAACAATTCATGAAACAAAAGAAAAAATATTACTTATTATATTAATATACACGTGATCATGGATTTAGAATGAAATTAATTGTCATTTAAAAATTGTTTTATTGAGAAAAAAAGAACATGTTTGTGATAAAATGATGTCCTTATAAATCAAAGGATTTATCTACTCTAAAATGCATTGATATGATATCATTTGTACGCAGGATGGATTTTTGCATAATTTGCGGTAAGGGCGTTTTCAGATCCTCGACGATAACATTCTCAAATTTCGGGTCAAAAGCTTTCATCTTGCACTCGACATCAGTGAGTTCATACATCTTCACCTTGCATTGCTGACCTATAACAAAACTGGTAAATGCATCTAGTAGGCAACCATAACCTACAAATGCTAATTAACTCGATACATACCTGATAATTTGGTTACTAGCTTTAAGAAGCGTTCGCGGAGAAACGTCCTAGCGATTTGTTCTTCATTGCAATCATTGACTTCTGCATTGTTATCTTCCATTGAAAGTATTTGCTGGTTTATTTTGTTTACTAACTGAACTATTTTCAAATGGATTCACTCACAGATGGCGTAAAGAGACCAAAGAAAAAAAATCGTTTAAACAGACTATATTTGCACGGGTTAATAGAAAAATAAATATTCAACATAGGTTTTGGATATGCTAAATTAAATTTAAATTCACACAAACATTGTTTATAACTAGGCTAACAGATGGCACTCGAAATATTGCTTAACAAAACAAGAACGCAGAATCTAGAATTTTAACAAACTTCTCAAGATTAACAAAACGAAGTTATTTTATTATCCAAATCAAATAAACTTTTTGGCAATTATATAAATTAAACCATAGCATAATTTCATTAAATAGAAAATAAATAATATTAAGTACTATATACAATTCTACAGATCATACTCGTTAATCTTCTGCTGTTTCGACGATTAGATGTTGAAGCCCATCTTTCGCATGCACACCTTGTGTGCCTCTATTAAATCGCCGCAGTTCTCCTGGCCGTTCTCGATTATGCTACAAAGGAAGAAGTTAAAATTAGACAATTGCAAAAGTGTTGATTCACGTGATTTATGTAATATCGCATTTGGCTATGATTACTCACCAGGCATCTCGTGCCCTTTTTGTTTCGGGACACGCGCAACAAGGCTTCAGCTTCTTGGGTTCCTCAGGACCTTTGGTGTTCGACACCTCAGATGAAGCAGCTTCCACTTTCTCATTGATATTTCCCATCGTTCGACCTATTCGAATCTCGTACGCTCTGATCAAAACTCTGTATAACCTTACTTTATGCAATCGATCAATCCAGAACGGAGTACGACCTTTGTCAAATTTTTGTTTGCTCGTAGCAAATGTTTCAAGCGAGGTAGATATAGGCAACCAAATATACACTAGTAAGGTATTTTGATGTAATTTGTTATAACTAACTCACATCAAGACTAGTATGACCCTTCAAAGAAGTGCTTTATACATATTTATAGTCGCCTGTATCACTAAAATCTAATATGAAAGGTTGTTGGTTCGATTTAAAAAAAGCAACAAAATTTGTGCGGGCCGATAAACCCGAAAAGGGGATAGAAATAGGATCAAAGAGTTTTATATTAATAATAAATTGATTTAAAAATACATAATAACTAAAATATTATTAAGTATAATGATTAATACCACACCTTCCAACTGTGACTTTTGATAATGATATCTTAAAGAATTTATTACATGGTTGTTTATCTTCAATTTCATCCTTTAATAAAGTAAGGGACTGAGGACGTAATAGCTCTATCCCATTGACGGGCGGTCATTACGGTAGTTGAGAACTTCAGGATGGGTAGACGGCGCCCGAAGGGCTGACGTGCGACAGATTAGATTTTACGGCCGCCCTCCCTCAACTTCCCCCCCGCAGGGTCGAACAGTCGTCCTCTCGTAGTGAACCTCTTTAAACTAATAAATATCAATGAACGTCTCGGCAGTGTCCCCCCATTAACACGTGCCAATATTGAGCCAATTCCCAGGAGCCTTTCAACCCTAAATCATTTCGGTCGGTTGAAGAACTGGTTTAAAAAGACCGGTTTAATTTGCAACGCATCATCGATTCAGACGAGAGAAGAAAGCAACGTGCACCGCGGAAATGAAACACCTCGAAGGATATGCCAATTAACAAGAAAAAAACGTCAACAACTATTCTGCCACTACAACATGTCAATGAAATCGTTATTGAAACTAATAACTTAGAATTGATCCGGTTTAGATTATCTTATTCTCATTAATCCGCACAAGCGTTTCAGTTTATTTTTAAACTAATTACAAATCGACAACTTAAGAAGACATACAAAAAGAGTACAATTTTATGAAATTTTTATAGTCATTGAAAATAATAAAAATGAAACATTTGTTGCCGAATTATAAAGATTTTATTTATTCTGATTATTCGCAATCAGAAAACTCTTATTCAATTAATATAAGTTCTGTCTATAATGAGTAACTTGCACAAGGTGTTGATACAATACTTCCTTTCTTAAACTCCAAATTAAGTAAATAAAAACTAATGGTAGTTGTAGTAAATATTTACATTATTTAAAAAAAATAGATGACTAAACTCATTATAGATAGTTTTACAATAAAAAAAAAAATACGTTACTCGTAGTACTTGTACAAATTACCTGGCAAGTATCGCGTCGAGAATTGTGAGTACACGAAATATAAAGAAAAAGGTCAGTCGAAATGCACCGGACGGCAACAATGAAATACGAAAAAGTAGAGAGACCGTGGAAAGTTTCTTTGCACAATCCGTATAACTGGACATTTCGGTCTCCTGCACTTGTTTTGTTTCCTTTTCGCTCGACTGTTTCAATGCCACCCGTATTTTTGTGCAACTCATATTCAACCAAAAAAAAAATCAAGTACTGCAACGTTTAATTAATCTTAAGGCTTCTCTAATTATTTGTCTACTTTTTTTTTGCAGTTGCAACTGCGAAATACCTTCTCTATGCGTTGACGTAACTTCACGTAATTTCGTATTAATATTTGTATGTGTGTGTTTTTTTTGGCTCATTAATGTTGCGAGGTAAAAATGCAGCGGAATATTCAACAAGGCCATCGTTTGCACGAGACTTCATTTTCAATGATTTATCAAACGGTCCGAAACATTCACTAAATACGCGAAATGGACAAAATAAATATTAGTTTTGAGGAGATTAGAAGAAAAGCAAGGATGGCCCACCTAGACCGTTGGGCGTAGGATTAGGACCGTGTCACAAGTAATGCGCTCCAACTACAAGGAAATTGTCCTTCCAGAATCGCATAGGTATATGTTCATTACAAGAAGAAAAAAGGACACTATTGTTATTTTGGACCTGAAGAGATAGTCTTAAGTTTACCTGTTCCATACACGAGAAATGTTTGCCGACATTTCGCATAAGACTCATCATATTGAATATTGACAAAGTTGCTGTTATCTTCTATTACCAATACTAAATTTCCAGAAACTTCAAATATAAAATCATATATAATATTATTGAAATATTTCAATTTGAAAAATATTTAACAATAAATAAACATAATATACAAATATTTAATTAGAGCTATTTTTCGGTCAAACATTTTCTTTAACTAAAGATTTATCAAACTTCGAATGTACAAACAAAGTAATACTAAATTTTAGCATTTGAAGTTTCAATATAGATTTACATTAGTTTCATTGTATGTTTTAATGAGAACTATATAAAATATAAATTATTAATTTGTCTTTATCTAACATTTTATTTAACAATTGTATCTAATAAAAAGTAAATAAACATATAATATAAAATTTAATTGATTTCAATATATATATAGAGATTTATTGTCTACAATTTACAATTTATAGATTTATGATTTCATACTGGGTTGATAATTTGAATAGCAAACAAACACGTTTTATAAGAAATACTTTACATTACGTTACAAAAATCAACCTATTCAGAATTTCTTTTTGCTGTGCGAAGATCATAGATAAAAGTTTATAATACAAAAAAAAGATTTTTGAATCTTAAATAGTATTTGAAATGACATACAATTGTAAATATGACAATTTTAATATTAACATAACGTATTTTATATTTTAAGTTATTTCATTATCATTAAGAAAACAGCCAAAATATTCTCAAAATAATACAATTTTCTGTGCATATAATCTTTGTATCGGATTTTATGATCAAGTCTGATTAGGACAATTGAACAACGGCAATACGTTGTCAAATAACAGCAGTTATTTTGGATACTTGTTTACCTATCGAACAAATCAGGAAGGAAACCATTGATACGAAACTTAAGTAACAAGTGTCACTGAGTAAAATGGGTGTATAATCTATGCAGTACTTGATGACAGCTTACGAAATTTGTTATTTAACAAATTGGGACAAATAGAACAACCTTCCTAATAGAACTAGAATAAGAAGGGGTTTTCCAATCGACCACGGACGATTGGAAACCCCCAAAAAAATGTTGCTACAATTATTTTTGTATGTTTCTAACAAATGTACTTTCCGGAAAGAAAGTTATGAAAACAGATAATTTAAACGTCTAGCGTTAAAACGCCTGGAAATCTGAAAGAAATAAATAAAAGGAGAAAAATAATTGATGCGACGATTGTTAGCTGCTTATAAGGAGACCGGGAAGATTTAAATATTTAACTGAGGATAAACTGGAGAATGCGTAAGAAGGTTTATTTATTTACATTTTACTGTGAGTGCAGTGCCATCTTTTCGAATTGCATGGGTGAAGAGGTTAATCCCGAAAAGTTGTAAAGTGTCAAAGGGTTGACGGACGAGGAAACAAAGGAGAATACAGGGGGAACTCCGTGTACGAGGACTGGTACTTGTTTGTGTAGTTTTGCACGTGCATGCATACAGCAGGAACGACGAGAGAGGGTAAGTTAGTTAATGTGTGAGGGAGAGAGAAGGAGAGTGTGAGACTGTGGACGACGGAGATCTGCGGTGTTTGGCTGGTCCCCCCGCTGCTGCGAGCATTCGCAAAAGCGAGATGGCACGTCGGCTATTTTGACGGGAAGGTCGGTCACGTGACGCGGCCGTCGCGGCGGCTGCGGAGCGGGCCGGGGCCGAGGGGGGCGGTCGTCGTGCGACGAAGGGGGGCCTTGCCAGTGGGGGCGGTGGGGAGCGGCGCAGCGCACAGACTAGACTTTCCAACACCACTACCGTCTCGGCCATGACTGCTTGCGTACGTAATATCTACTCTAACTGAAAGAGCAGACCCCGTCACGGGTCATCCCTCCGATGCACCAGCACCAGAAGCAGACAAGCAACGAGATCGAGAGCGACGAAGCTGCTGCACCAGGAGAAGTTGCGTTGACTAGCCGTGGACTGCTGTCGCCACCACCACCACCACCATCGGGGTTGGTGCCCCTGTGATGAGTGTATTATGATGAGGTGCGAAGTGGTTCTTAGTGTGGAACAAGAGTAGAAAAACGAACTCAAGGAAACGAGTGCAGTGCACATCAAATAAGTTGTAATTTGGGAGGGTCGCGGTGCGCATGCGTTAGATGTCTAGACACCAGCAGGAGAGGCTCTGGCTGGCCGTCGGTAGCCTCACTATATGGTAGACATGTTTTGGTAGACGGAAAGTGCGGTCGAGACGCAGACATACACAGACACGCGCGCGCGTATCTATACACACAATATATATATACATACACGCTCGCTCCCCGCGGTGGGAATAAACAATTTACTACTACTAAATAAATATATATGTGGATGTATTACTAGTAGAGTCGACGACCACACCGTCCATTTCGGAAAATGGATTGGATCTAGTGCGCGAATCTACAGTTTTGTTTTTGGTTTTAAATTTACCATTTTGGGTTTGATTGTTTCGTTTGTTGTGTTCGTTCGCCTATCGACTAAGATGATGGAGGTAACGTCCCACCTGAAGACGGTGCTGAAAAGCTACCAGCATAGCGCGACGAAAAGTCTGCAGGGCCCTGGACTGATCACCGCCAAGGCGGAACTGCCGGACGTCGAGGACATCGACTTCGTTCAGCCGCAACCATTTCCGATCCAGCAGATGCCCATCCTCACTACCGCCGATAAGACCAGCAGCGAGCGCTCGGAGACCATTCTCGAGGGCGAGCCGATATCCTGCTTCATTGTCGGCGGCGAGAAGAGGCTCTGTCTGCCCCAGGTTCTTAACTCGGTGCTGCGCAACTTCTCGTTGAACCAGATCAATCAGGAGTGCGATACTCTTCGTATCTACTGTTCGAGGTGCACTCGCGACCAACTGAACGTGCTCAAGGACCATGGGATCCTTCCCAGCGTTGCCCATAGTTGCGGCCTCATCACCAAGACGGATGCGGAGCGTCTCTGCAGCGCCCTTCTGCACGTATCCTCCGCGACGCCAACCGCTGCTGTCATCCCGCGCGAGGGCGGTCTCCGTTTCACCGTATACCACGAATGTTTTGGCAAGTGCCGGGCACTTTGCTTCCCGGAGATGTACACCGGTGTCACGGCCACCTGCATCGAATGCCTCCAGTGCCATCGGTGGCTCTCGCCCCAGCAGTTTGTCTGTCACGTGCACGCCAACCTCGAGAACTGCACCGTCCACTGGGGCTTCGACTCGAGCAACTGGCGCTCCTACATCCTCGTCCACGAGGAGCAGCCCAATCATAAGCAGTATACCCAATACTTGGACATCATGAAGGAGCAGTACGTCGGCAAGACTCCCTTCGCCCAAAGCGACTTCACAAATCACAAACGAAAAATGGTAAGTTTCACGATTCCATTACTTTTTACTAACTACATTAGTTTGAATCTGCGACAATTAGCAAATAAAACAGGTTTTATTATAAACAACCTCTATATATACAAATAATACGTCTGGGATGATCATTCGTATACTCACTAAATATTATTTCAAGCACCGACTACAATTTGTATGTTAGTAAACATTTAGTATCATGTATGAAACGACAACTTATTAATACGTTCTACAATAGTTATAACTAATAATTTCGCTTATTTGTAATATCATTTAACCAGTTTCCTTAAGCGGACTTGATTTACAAGCAGAATTTCATTCTTAAAGATCAAACACACCCCACTTTTCATATACGTGTCATTCGTGGGTTCTATATTATTTACTTAAATTAGACTAATAATGTATGATTACGTGGATTTAAGTACAGTATAAACAGTGATACTCTTGTTATATATTCAGATTTTTACGATTTACTTGAAAATTATTTCATAATAATTCGTGCATCCAATTGTAACGTGAACTTATTTGAACTTAAGTCTCATTTACAAACTCAATTACATTTACTTCTAGTTTATGTCCATAATCAGGTTGAATTACGTGTCGTATAAGTAAGTTCAAGCACAGCTGATTTTGATATTAACCGTGACACTCGCAGGTTCTACACTACGCATTTGAATTAGGGTAATAATGTATTTTTTCATGTCGATGCACTGTATTGTTAAATTTTGCTGCAAAATAATTTAAAAATAGAATGTGTTTCAATAGACAAGTGAACTATAAACTTTAGCCTCATCACTAAAAAAAAAACTCTTTCAATCATAGCTATTTATATAATCGCACAACTTCTGGTACTTAGAGAAGTTGATGAATTCTTTGAAGAGAATATATGAACAAATGTAGAATTTACATTTAAGATACACATAATTAAACTGTGATGTTTTTTTTGTTATTGTTAATTTCTTCCTTATGATTATAAAGACATTACAATTTCCATTAAAAAAAAATATTTGATATACGTGATATTATGAAATACAATAGTTGTTGTTTGTTTTTACTTAGGGAAATTGTATTCTTATTCTTGGCAATGAATATGAATAAAATATTGGAAATGAATGCCATGTAAACATTAATTAAAGATGTTATTTTACTCGAAGTTATTTTGTTTCGTCGTTGAATAATAACTAGTTCTTCTATAAAAGTATGTAAATAATATTTAGAGATGAAATAAAAACGTCTAAAAATAGACAAAAAGGCTTATATAAATATAAAGTCAATATGCTCAACATCTGTAATGGCAACATTCGTATGTATAAAGATATTGATTTTCTCACTATTGTATACTGGAAACAAAAAAAATGAAGATCTTGAAATGCTGAAAGTATGAAAATAACTGTTATCTGAAAACAATGTTGGTTTATCTTTTTCATTAGATATTAAGTCTGATTAATATCTACTTAAAAATATAAATGATATGTATTTAAATGCTTTTTTTGTATTAAATCTTAATATAATCTTTCGGTCTTGTGGAATTTGCAGCAAGAGGATTTAAAAAAAAGATTGTGTACATTTTGTGGCGTTGATCAAATAAAATGCGTTTGTAAGAAGCAGACAATGATGGAAAGTAATATAAGGTCAATAACATAACGTGTTATAAAAGCATATCCATGCACACTACATTGTATGTTTTATAAAGAAAGTAAATTAAACGTGAGGCTATTTGTTTTTGTATTTCAAAGCTTCATTGTCAGTTCTATTTATTACGTTGTTATATAATCGACAAAATATTAAAAAATAACAATGTTAATTTGTAAATATCTAAAGAAATTTTATCATATTCACACATTTTTTTGAAACTAAAGATAAATAAATTAAAAATGAGTATGTATTTTTTAAATAATAATAAAAGGCCATTTGAAAAAAAATATTTTAATTAATTTTGGTTCAATAATAATATGTGTGTTTTTGAAGCCATATAATAGTAATTTTGTGTGTGGACATAACATAATTAGAATATCTTTCATTTACTTTGTGGCATTCGTATTTATTGGGTAAGCGTGTGGAATTTCAAAAGGCAATTGCTGGAAAACAATTCTCAAATTTATGAATGTCTGTAACCGGAAGATTGAAATACCGAAGTTATCGTAAATTATGTACATAATTAATTAGTTGATATTAATGAACGTATACAGTTTTAATGAAACCTGTGTATATCAATTCGTGTGGTATTCCTTGATTGCTAATCACAAGGTGGCTGTGAAGGATTTGCCAACTTGTAATTATTTTAATTCCAGTGTATATTTTAATTTTCGTAAATCGGAAAGTTTAAAAAAAAACGGATAAAATTATATATCGCGCAACATTTCTTCGTGAATAAAATCGCATCGAATGTTGCAAACGTCGAGCGTGCTTTGAATAGCAAAACGGACGGAGGACAGGAAGGCTTCGGTCTTTAGCATTTTTCTCTTTCGGGTATGCCTATGATGCAAATGAGAAACGATTAAAGCATTGGTTTGATGTCTGTATTTATTGGATAAAGCCGTCTGCATTCTATTCTACTCGGAATTGATAGAGTTGTTGATGTTTCCAGTCATCAGAGGCGTTGGCTCTTTTTTTTGTCATTATTTATTTCTATGTAATATTCTATTGTAATTTATTGCATGTATTTATTGTGATTGGTTTTACAACTTATTATCACTAAGTTTCGACAAAGATATACAAAATGCTCCTCAATTAAAGGCATTTGTATATTCGAAATTTACATTAGAAGAAAAAAAATGAATTGTTAACAATAATCTTTACAAAGTGCTTTCAAGTTTCTGCAATAAAACCACATTGTTCAGTTAATAAATTTATAAATTCGTACTTTATACCAGGAATTTGATGATGTTTATTAGTTTATTTCTCACTAACGTACAATCAGTTTACTTCAATAACATTCCGGCCGATGACAGCATCTATGATCATTGGGAATGGAACTATTTGACAAGTTGTCATTGCAGCCATAAAGTTTTTACTGGGTCTGACCACCATGTGATTTGCTCATTCGCACAATTTTACAACTTGTTAGTTATCCCCGCTTTCACGTTTTTGCAGTAGTACCAAATTGTTCTTCAGTTAAAGCTAAAGTATAATCAGTTTTCAGTAACTTTGACTAATATTTCACTGAAATTATTTTTTTGGAACGGTTTATTTTCTTTGTTAATGCGAATCGAGAAGTTACGTCGATGAATTAAACAATTTAACAAGTTGTCATCGCAGCTATCAAGTCTCGTTTTTATAAGAAAAATCAAGATGTTCTTCAGTTGAAGGCGGAAGATGGATGGAATGGAATATTGCGACACTTATTTTTCAATTTGTTTGATACGTATATAAATAGAGTGGAGCATGTGGAACGCGTTTTGTTTATCCCACATGCGAACTGACAAAGTGTCACTGCGATAAGGCTTATCTCGAGCAGGCCGCGCATTTTTCGACCGATCTAGTCGGTGTAAAATAAACAGGCTTCTGCGGCCAGACCCGCAAAATATTATGTTGTTTCTGCTCTTTTTCTCTGCATTCCGTTTCCGCGCCTCCTCTTTGCGCAAAACCCAAGACAAACAATCATCGATTTCGGCGTTTTCAAAAATGTTGTTATGCTGCTTCCGCGGGTCAAGCGTGTCTCGACGATTCCTTCCTTCTGTTGCGTAGCATTACGAAACGTCACATCATGAAAACATCGGATCGAGTAAAAACATGCGCTCTAATTGATTTAATCAGATGCAAGTGGCGTTGCCTGTTTTGTTAATTAAATTTCTGTTTTCCTTCTTTTATTTTCTTGTTTGTTTTGTCGGAGCTGTCTGTTTGCGAGGCGCGCTCTATGGGATCAAAGGTTCCCTTCTGCGCAGAAATCGAATTGAAAATAAATCGTAGCGCCGTGTGTATGTGTGATCGAACTTTCATTCAGTAGCCCGTCTATTCGCAGTTTACGCGCCGTACTTACGCGTAAACATGCATTGAAAACCGATCTCCCCCTTCGTTTCCAGCTATTCCGGCGAAAATGAAGGCGGCTCAATGGAAATCGCTCGGCTTAAGTTACGTTAATTGCAGATTTGTTGATAGTTAAGTAACCTTACGTTCATTAAAGAAATTTTGTTCAAACGCACGCGATCTTATTATGCTGATATTAGAGGTCTTCAATGCTATTAGTTGCAGAAGCAACGGAATTTAACTTTATGCTCAGTTAACATCATCTGCATACGTTAAGACACTTTATTTAAATGGTTAATAGGTTCTAAATGAATCGTCTTACATTCATTTCATATACGTTAAGAACTAGTATTGCGCATTTTTTATTTATGTGCAGAAATTTCTATGATTAGAAGTTTGTTGTATCTTTGTAGAGTTGCCATATTTGAAATTGGTTAACCATGGTAATAATTTTTAAAATCTAGTGCAATGTTAATTGCAAAAATAGGAAAAGATATTATAATCATAATTTTCTAAATATAAAGAAACATAAATTTTAAAAATCTCGTCTTCTAGAACAGTGCTCCACAATCTTTTTATCGCCTCGGACTGGTCAACGTTTGATAATTTCACCGCGGCCCGGGGTGGAAACTACTGTTCTAGAGCATAAAAACAGAGGACTTGTTCGAGATAAACCGGACTCATTGAAATCTTTGACTAATTAATCAACCTAAGCAACCATAACCTTATCAATTGACTTACATATAACCTCTCCTAATATTTTTATCTTACCTAACCTGAACCTACACTAAACCTAATCTGAATATGTAAAACAACCTAACCTGTATAATAACCTAACCACAAATATAACCAACGCTTATTTTAACAGTTATATAATATTACTAAAATTCTGGGCAATTCAAAATGCGCAGTTAATTAAAGTAGATATTTACAATTCTATTTACTCATTAATTTATGCGCATTAAAAGTCCAACTTATGTTTTCTAATATTGTTTAATATGAACTTTGTATTAAGTTGGTTATAGCTATATTTTAATTAT